ACGTTGTGCGTTGACGCGTTCCAATCTGTCGGTCGCGGCGCAAACACGGGACCGTTGCGCACCATTGCATGGGGTGAGTTGTCGGACCTGTTTGCATCGTCAATTGCTGTGTGCGGTGGTCGTAGACGTGCTTCGGATGTGTACATTTTGGCTGTTGAGGAGTTATCGTGCGACGCGAGCGGTTGATTGCGATGGATGCTTCTTGGTTTTGTGCAGCAGAGTGGCTGTGTGAGTCTTGTTGGCTTAGTGAGGTTTTGGGTCCGGATTGGGTTTGGCGCGGATCACGCATTGATTTGTCGGCTCAGGCCCATGGGCGATGGTTATTGAATTCAGGTGGGCGCGATCCGTCCTCCACATTGTTTTGTACCGCGCATGATCATCGGCATGCTAGTCATTGCGGTCAGTGGGTCGGATTTAGGGTATTGTTGGTGTGCGGCATGATAATAATAATTGTTGTTAGAAGGATACGTTTATTTCTCCTGATGCGAGAAATAGTGTCTGTAGCGGCACAATTCACTTTGTACAAATCACCCATGCTGTTGCAGCGGCGAGGTCATGGGTGGAACTTTGGGGTATGCGTTCCATGTAGTTACGTTCTGGTGGATGATTGAGACAAAGGTCTAGTTTTGAAAACATTGGTGTTTAGATGTTTTTAGGCTCCTTTTGGAATAGCTCGTCGATGGATTTTTCGCATGTAGATATAGTGCTTATTGTATTTAGATCAAGTTAATTATTGGGTCTGCCTCCAAATGTTGCCACATGAACTGAGTGTGCTGGTGTATTCTACAGATATCTATATTTGACCAGGAAGAAATTAGAGCAATCGTTCTTTCTAGCCTTCAGTTGATTCAGTGTAAAATCTTTATTGCGAAGTTCTCGTGTTGAGCTATGTTGTAGTTCGTGTGTAGGCAAGTCGGAATAGGTCTTTATGTGTAGCAGGTTGGAAAGCAGCAGCAAGTTGTGCGTTATTCCTCGAATCCAACGTGGTTCGAGTTGAAGTTCGTTGCAACATTCTCAACAATTCATAGCAGAGTGCTTACCAACTAGCTGTTTAGTAAGTGACCTCTGCAGGTGCTCCACAACAACTCTGTCAATGTTTCTCATATTGTCGTATATTATGCTGTAGTGTTCGAGGATGGGACGAGTGAGTAGGTGAAACAGCTCAAGCCTAGCATGAGTTGTGTGGATTTTATTGTATATAATGAACATAGATTGTCTGGCACGTGCTACCTGGTATCGGGCCTGTTCGGCGAAATTACAGGTAGACGAGTACCTAGTTCCCAGATCACGCGTGGACAGCTGTGTAGGGATGTGTTCATTGTTTAGTGTGCTCAATCCTTCGGGGATGAAACAGTCGTAAGACATGATGCATGATTTTTATCCGAGAGGTTCATCTCCCACGTGTGGCCCCATGACTCAAGGGAATGTAAGCTCATCTTGAATGAGCAGTAGCGTTCCATGTAGTTCGTCACGCTGTAGCCTGTGGACGACGATCTTGATATCGTCAGCAGCTAAAACTGGTCGACCATGTTTACAGATGTGGTGATGTCATTGATGTAGAGCAGAAAGAGTGAAGGACCGAGCACACTGCTTTGAATGACCCACTGGTGATGGGGCGTGGAGAAGAGCGATATTCACCTGAAGGGACTACTTGTTTTCGACCAATTAGGTATAAGGATCGGCAACATATTAATGTGTCCCGGATCTCGAAGTTCTCCAACTTTTGTGACGATGGTTTGTGAGGTACTCGGTCGAATGCTTGGCGTATGTTCAGAAACAGAATTACTACCGCATAGTCGGAATCGATCAATTCTGAAATATGGCTCAGGCGCGACAGTTGGCAGGTGGTACACGATCGCTGGCTGAGAAAACTATGCTGCAGATTATTGATCAGGCCAAAGAATCGACAAATTTCACTCAGTGTTGTCGATCGTACATGCGGTCGTGGATTTAGACAGCTCGCTGTATGGTTGAGTCGATGCTGTACGGTACGGTGGGTCGGTTGTAGCTGTGACGCATGAATGCTACGCTGACTACTGTTGTGGTAGTCTGTCTCACATCTCATGCTAAATATTGCTGTCTCATAGCTGCCGGACGATGTTGGACGTCTCGGCTTTGAGTGTCAGCGACATGTGTGTATTAGTGTTTGACAAATTTGCATAGAAGTGTGTGTGTGCATGTGCATGCCTTCGCAGTGGCTGTAGAGGTGATCTGTAGCCATTCACCTGTCATGCGAAATTGACGCGAGACCAGCAGCTGTGGCATTTGGATCATGCGTGTTTCTGCGTGACTGTGGAGTTGCGACATTGCACGCAGTTGGTAGTTTCTATCAGTCATATCACTTTTTCGTGGATTCCGTATTGTGATGTTGAAGTTTGGTTGGAAGTTTGCGCGCATGTACGCCTGTCATAGTAACGGTCTTGTGTTATCATTGTGTCGGTATAATTGTTGAGGTTAGTTGTATAGACGGAAGGTGTTTGAGTAGGCATTTTTCTCGGATTGCTTGATACGAAAGGTTGTCGCGGATGTGGTGAGTGTTTCAGGAGAAGATGCTGATAGTGCCCTAGGGAGGGAATCATGTCGTATCAGTCTCACCGTCTCTGTAAGCTGTTTGGCTTTTGGATGCGGGTGGTGCGTTTGGCGTTGTTGTAACCTTGTACGTGAGGGTTGGTAAAGTGTTGTGAGCATCTCACCGTCCGCGGTATTTGGTGGCCTCGGGTGTTGTGAGAGGTGGTCGCACTTTGTGTTGGCAAGTGGGAAGTTTTTTATTTGCTTGGTGCTTTGGAAATATTCTCGGCCGCCAGTTTTTTGCTAGCATTTCGTCACGCTTTGGATGCAATCATTTTATGTGAGTTTTCGTCGCGATTTATCTGTGTGCGCTTCTGACTGTGGCGCAGTTTGTTCCCCCGGCATGTTGCCGTGGATCGGTGTGTCTGCTGAAGGGAAGCGAGCTTGTTTTGGATCGCCTGTGCTGTGTATCCATGGGATGCGGGCGTATGTGTGTTTGGTTTGATCCACTCTATTTGACTTGTGCTGTAAGTCGAAGGAGATCGCATGTTCAGTTAGGTCTGGTTGGTGTGTGAGAAGGAGATGTGTAGAATTCGTGTGGAAGTGAAATCTGGGCTCCCGTGTTTCGCACAAATTTGTCCGCCATGAATACGTGGTTTGTTCTGCAGAGCGAGAGAGCTAGGAGGACCACATGTTTGTCCCATAAATCGGTCCGATATCTATTGCTTGTCCTTGTGGATGCACAACGATGTTGTTGCGTTGATGGGGCTTCTCCGGTGACTAAGTGAAATCAGTAAGCACTGGGGAAACTCCTTGTGGCGCGACCGAACGGCACTCAGTCAGTGGAAGCGCGTAGACGGGCAACCATGTCAGATGTGGCCAATGAGTTAGTCTGTTAGGTTCGGGTCCGATTGGCCGCTTAGTTCATCCATCGTATTGACATACTCATTCGGATTGCGTGCTCCTGTCACATCGTGTATGTTGTTTGTCGCTGGAAGGTGTTGGTACGCCAAGCGTTTTGACCGCATCCATTTGGGCGGCGAGTGTGGTGGCGGGCGTCCACCATTACCGTTATTTGTTTCGGGTCGATAGTAGTGGTGTTTGATGAGAGGAGCTCTTGTAATTACCTGAAGTCATGTGGATGAATGTGATGGTGGTCGTTTGGATGTGCTAGCCTTCTTTCACTGGTCTGTACTAAGACGATCATGGTGGTTTCCAAAGGAGTTTGTGCGTGTGTATTATTGGTGTGCTCCGATCGGTTGTTCGTGTCGTACTGATTGTTCGTTGTGCGTTGACGCGTTCCAATCTGTCGGTCGCGGCGCAAACACGGGACCGTTGCGCACCATTGCATGGGGTGAGTTGTCGGACCTGTTTGCATCGTCAATTGCTGTGTACGGTGGTCGTAGACGTGCTTCGGATGTGTACATTTTGGCTGTTGAGGAGTTATCGTGCGACGCGAGCGGTTGATTGCGATGGATGCTTCTTGGTTTTGTGCAGCAGAGTGGCTGTGTGAGTCTCGTTGGCTTAGTGAGGTTTTGGGTCCGGATTGGGTTTGGCGCGGATCACGCATTGATTTGTCGGCTCAGGCCCATGGGCGATGGTTATTGAATTCAGGTGGGCGCGATCCGTCCTCCACATTGTTTTGTACCGCGCATGATCATCGGCATGCTAGTCATTGCGGTCAGTGGGTCGGATTTAGGGTATTGTTGGTGTGCGGCATGATAATAATAATTGTTGTTAGAAGGATACGTTTATTTCTCCTGATGCGAGAAATAGTGTCTGTAGCGGCACAATTCACTTTGTACAAATCACCCATGCTGTTGCAGCGGCGAGGTCATGGGTGGAACTTTGGGGTATGCGTTCCATGTAGTTACGTTCTGGTGGATGATTGAGACAAAGGTCTAGTTTTGAAAACATTGGTGTTTAGATGTTTTTAGGCTCCTTTTGGAATAGCTCGTCGATGGATTTTTCGCATGTAGATATAGTGCTTATTGTATTTAGATCAAGTTAATTATTGGGTCTGCCTCCAAATGTTGCCACATGAACTGAGTGTGCTGGTGTATTCCACAGATATCTATATTTGACCAGGAAGAAATTAGAGCAATCGTTCTTTCTAGCCTTCAGTTGATTCAGTGTAAAATCTTTATTGCGAAGTTCTCGTGTTGAGCTATGTTGTAGTTCGTGTGTAGGCAAGTCGGAATAGGTCTTTATGTGTAGCAGGTTGGAAAGCAGCAGCAAGTTGTGCGTTATTCCTCGAATCCAACGTGGTTCGAGTTGAAGTTCGTTGCAACATTCTCAACAACTCATAGCAGAGTGCTTACCAACTAGCTGTTTAGTAAGTGACCTCTGCAGGTGCTCCACAACAACTCTGTCAATGTTTCTCATATTGTCGTATATTATGCTGTAGTGTTCGAGGATGGGACGGGTGAGTAGGTGAAACAGCTCAAGCCTAGCATGAGTTGTGTGGATTTTGTTGTATATAATGAACATAGATTGTCTGGCACGTGCTACCTGGTATCGGGCCTGTTCGGCGAAATTACAGGTAGGCGAGTACCTAGTTCCCAGATCACGCGTGGACAGCTGTGTAGGGATGTGTTCATTGTTTAGTGTGCTAGATCCTTCGGGGATGGAACAGTCGTAAGACATGATGCATGATTTTTATCCGAGAGGTTCATCTCCCACGTGTGGCCCCATGACTCAAGGGAATGTAAGCTCATCTTGAATGAGCAGTAGCGTTCCATGTAGTTCGTCACGCTGTAGCCTGTGGACGACGATCTTGATATCGTCAGCAGCTAAAACTGGTCGACCATGTTTACAGATGTGGTGATGTCATTGATGTAGAGCAGAAAGAGTGAAGGACCGAGCACACTGCTTTGAATGACCCACTGGTGATGGGGCGTGGAGAAGAGCGATATTCACCTGAAGGGACTACTTGTTTTCGACCAATTAGGTATAAGGATCGGCAACATATTAATGTGTCCCGGATCTCGAAGTTCTCCAACTTTTGTGACGATGGTTTGTGAGGTACTCGGTCGAATGCTTGGCGTATGTTCAGAAACAGAATTACTACCGCATAGTCGGAATCGATCAATTCTGAAATATGGCTCAGGCGCGACAGTTGGCAGGTGGTACACGATCGCTGGCTGAGAAAACTATGCTGCAGATTATTGATCAGGCCAAAGAATCGACAAATTTCACTCAGTGTTGTCGATCGTACATGCGGTCGTGGATTTAGACAGCTCGCTGTATGGTTGAGTCGATGCTGTACGGTACGGTGGGTCGGTTGTAGCTGTGACGCATGAATGCTACGCTGACTACTGTTGTGGTAGTCTGTCTCACATCTCATGCTAAATATTGCTGTCTCATAGCTGCCGGACGATGTTGGACGTCTCGGCTTTGAGTGTCAGCGACATGTGTGTATTAGTGTTTGACAAATTTGCGTAGAAGTGTGTGTGTGTGTGTGTGTGTGTGTGCATGCCTTCGCAGTGGCTGTAGAGGTGATCTGTAGCCATTCACCTGTCATGCGAAATTGACGCGAGACCAGCAGCTGTGGCATTTGGATCATGCGTGTTTCTGCGTGACTGTGGAGTTGCGACATTGCACGCAGTTGGTAGTTTCTATCAGTCATATCACTTTTTCGTGGATTCCGTATTGTGATGTTGAAGTTTGGTTGGAAGTTTGCGCGCATGTACGCCTGTCATAGTAACGGTCTTGTGTTATCATTGTGTCGGTATAATTGTTGAGGTTAGTTGTATAGGCGGAAGGTGTTTGAGTAGGCATTTTTCTCGGATTGCTTGATACGAAAGGTTGTCGCGGATGTGGTGAGTGTTTCAGGAGAAGATGCTGATAGTGCCCTAGGGAGGGAATCATGTCGTATCAGTCTCACCGTCTCTGTAAGCTGTTTGGCTTTTGGATGCGGGTGGTGCGTTTGGCGTTGTTGTAACCTTGTACGTGAGGGTTGGTAAAGTGTTGTGAGCATCTCACCGTCCGCGGTATTTGGTGGCCTCGGGTGTTGTGAGAGGTGGTCGCACTTTGTGTTGGCAAGTGGGAAGTTTTTTATTTGCTTGGTGCTTTGGAAATATTCTCGGCCGCCAGTTATTTGCTAGCATTTCGTCACGCTTTGGATGCAATCATTTTATGTGAGTTTTCGTCGCGATTTATCTGTGTGCGCTTCTGACTGTGGCGCAGTTTGTTCCCCCGGCATGTTGCCGTGGATCGGTGTGTCTGCTGAAGGGAAGCGAGCTTGTTTTGGATCGCCTGTGCTGTGTATCCATGGGATGCGGGCGTATGTGTGCTTGGTTTGATCCACTCTATTTGACTTGTGCTGTAAGTCGAAGGAGATCGCATGTTCAGTTAGGTCTGGTTGGTGTGTGAGAAGGAGATGTGTAGAATTCGTGTGGAAGTGAAATCTGGGCTCCCGTGTTTCGCACAAATTTGTCCGCCATGAATACGTGGTTTGTTCTGCAGAGCGAGAGAGCTAAGAGGACCACATGTTTGTCCCATAAATCGGTCCGATATCTATTGCTTGTCCTTGTGGATGCACAACGATGTTGTTGCGTTGATGGGGCTTCTCCGGTGACTAAGTGAAATCAGTAAGCACTGGGGAAACTCCTTGTGGCGCGACCGAACGGCACTCAGTCAGTGGAAGCGCGTAGACGGGCAACCATGTCAGATGTGGCCAATGAGTTAGTCTGTTAGGTTCGGGTCCGATTGGCCGCTTAGTTCATCCATCGTATTGACATACTCATTCGGATTGCGTGCTCCTGTCACATCGTGTATGTTGTTTGTCGCTGGAAGGTGTTGGTACGCCAAGCGTTTTGACCGCATCCATTTGGGCGGCGAGTGTGGTGGCGGGCGTCCACCATTACCGTTATTTGTTTCGGGTCGATAGTAGTGGTGTTTGATGAGAGGAGCTCTTGTAATTACCTGAAGTCATGTGGATGAATGTGATGGTGGTCGTTTGGATGTGCTAGCCTTCTTTCACTGGTCTGTACTAAGACGATCATGGTGGTTTCCAAAGGAGTTTGTGCGTGTGTATTATTGGTGTGCTCCGATCGGTTGTTCGTGTCGTACTGATTGTTCGTTGTGCGTTGACGCGTTCCAATCTGTCGGTCGCGGCGCAAACACGGGACCGTTGCGCGCCATTGCATGGGGTGAGTTGTCGGACCTGTTTGCATCGTCAATTGCTGTGTACGGTGGTCGTAGACGTGCTTCGGATGTGTACATTTTGGCTGTTGAGGAGTTATCGTGCGACGCGAGCGGTTGATTGCGATGGATGCTTCTTGGTTTTGTGCAGCAGAGTGGCTGTGTGAGTCTCGTTGGCTTAGTGAGGTTTTGGGTCCGGATTGGGTTTGGCGCGGATCACGCATTGATTTGTCGGCTCAGGCCCATGGGCGATGGTTATTGAATTCAGGTGGGCGCGATCCGTCCTCCACATTGTTTTGTACCGCGCATGATCATCGGCATGCTAGTCATTGCGGTCAGTGGGTCGGATTTAGGGTATTGTTGGTGTGCGGCATGATAATAATAATTGTTGTTAGAAGGATACGTTTATTTCTCCTGATGCGAGAAATAGTGTCTGTAGCGGCACAATTCACTTTGTACAAATCACCCATGCTGTTGCAGCGGCGAGGTCATGGGTGGAACTTTGGGGTATGCGTTCCATGTAGTTACGTTCTGGTGGATGATTGAGACAAAGGTCTAGTTTTGAAAACATTGGTGTTTAGATGTTTTTAGGCTCCTTTTGGAATAGCTCGTCGATGGATTTTTCGCATGTAGATATAGTGCTTATTGTATTTAGATCAAGTTAATTATTGGGTCTGCCTCCAAATGTTGCCACATGAACTGAGTGTGGTGGTGTATTCCACAGATATCTATATTTGACCAGGAAGAAATTAGAGCAATCGTTCTTTCTAGCCTTCAGTTGATTCAGTGTAAAATCTTTATTGCGAAGTTCTCGTGTTGAGCTATGTTGTAGTTCGTGTGTAGGCAAGTCGGAATAGGTCTTTATGTGTAGCAGGTTGGAAAGCAGCAGCAAGTTGTGCGTTATTCCTCGAATCCAACGTGGTTCGAGTTGAAGTTCGTTGCAACATTCTCAACAACTCATAGCAGAGTGCTTACCAATCAGCTGTTTAGTAAGTGACCTCTGCAGGTGCTCCACAACAACTCTGTCAATGTTTCTCATATTGTCGTGTATTATGCTGTAGTGTTCGAGGATGGGACGGGTGAGTAGGTGAAACAGCTCAAGCCTAGCATGAGTTGTGTGGATTTTGTTGTATATAATGAACATAGATTGTCTGGCACGTGCTACCTGGTATCGGGCCTGTTCGGCGAAATTACAGGTAGACGAGTACCTAGTTCCCAGATCACGCGTGGACAGCTGTGTAGGGATGTGTTCATTGTTTAGTGTGCTAGATCCTTCGGGGATGGAACAGTCGTAAGACATGATGCATGATTTTTATCCGAGAGGTTCATCTCCCACGTGTGGACCCATGACTCATGTCAACGGAAGTGATATTTATTGCTCCTTTTTTTACTATTGCTAGGGCTTCTGTTGTTTATATGCATCTATTTACGGGCTGTCTGACTCTTATTTTTCCTGAAACCTGTATTGTCAGCGATCTTGGCTGTTACATGTGACTTGAGTTCTGGTCAATGCATTGTTGACATTTTTGTAAGTCGCTGGATAACCAGGACTTTCGTGCACTCGTAGTCTTTTGTAGACACGATCTGTAATGCTTGAATATCTTCGCGTTTTTTGCTCGAAGGTTTATGTTGTGGGCGATGTGGAGCCGCCGTGTAAGTTGAGATTTTCAATGCTTGCCATTTTTGTGTTGCGTGTGGCTGTAGCAAGGATTATTCATGTTTCTTTCTTTGCATTTTTCCTTGGACTATTTCCCCTAAATATGCAGATGATTTCTTTTCTCCGAAGATTTCTGTCAGTGCTTTAGCTTGTATTTTTCAGTGGTTTTTCTCTACATGTCTCATTGTACTTAGCCCTAATTTGGCATTATGGGGCAGATATGTTCTCAACTGCTGATCATCTTATTTCAGTATTTCCTCGACTCCGATCACCCTGTTGTTTTTATCAAATTCCACGTATTGGGAATATCCAGTTTCCAGTCCCTTCCAGATTGAGTTTATCCACTGATATTGATCATAGGGAATTTATTTGTCGTGTCGTCTTATTTTACGTGAAAAAGTTTTTATCGGAAACAGATATCGGTTACACCGGTGTACATCGGAATGCTGAAGTGACAGACTGGTTGGAGAGGAATAAATCAAATTACCCTCTCTTTTCTCACCTCGAACGCTGTTGGATTCCACTGTGCACTTTTTTTTGTATGTTGAGTTCTGGCATAAATGCGGTGTACCCGGATGCGTTTTCTAACTATACTACTTGTAACTGGTTCATTCTCATCAGACATGTTGGAAGCTTTGGTGGGTTTCGTCCGAAGGCCAGGGCGTTTCTAACAAAGCTTAATTTACCTGTATACTCATGTCAATGACCCATCGTCTCACGGCTAGCACATTCTGTTCTCTAATACGCAACTACGTCGTTTGCCTGTAAACACGCTGTGTCGGACATACCACAGCACCAAGAGCTATATTACTGGTTGAACAGGCGCCACCAATACTTAAGATATCAAATTATGCTTAGCCTTCGTCATCTTGATGTTTTTGTGCAGGTTTCTTTCCATATCACTGGAATACAAGCTTGGAATTATCTCCAAGTTAACAGGGGATTTTAATTTCCAAAGTTTTATAACACAAATAGGTTTTCTATAGATTTGTATTGTGACAACGTTTCACCCTTTGCACAAGAGCTTCTTCAGTTCAGGTGAACTAATACAGTTTCGGCTTGGTATTTTATAGCAATTAGAATAATGATTGCTTGAGATAACTCGGGTCCCTGGAAAATATGTGGTTACAGTTTCAAGGGATGAAAGGGTCAATCCGGTGGAACAATAAGCATTGAACTATTCCAATTGATCCGTGGAATGCATCATTCACCTGTGAGATAGTGATGTTGTTGCTTTTTGCTTTAGTGATTATATTGCAGCGTTTCCGCTCCAACCTGATTCCATCCGCCAAAGCTTCTCACACTGATCAGGTTAACGCAACCCGCCACGCGTTCGTTAGTTCCACCCCATCTATTCTGTTTACGCAGTTATAGTGGTCTTAACAATTTCTAGCGCTTCAGCAATTAATCTCTGGCTTGTTGCTCTTGCTCCCTTCCTAATGATGTCTACATTGTCCCAGTTGATTGCGTGTTCCGAGGTTAGCCAAAGTACCGCTACCGCCGAATTTTTTAGTAAGTCATTTTATTCAGGCTCAATTTTTTGTAGGTACGAAAGCTACCTTTTGTGTTCTGCTATCCTGGTGTATAGTTCTGTCGCTGGTTGGCCTATATACACTTGCGCACAGTCTCTGCAACTAATTTTATAGACGCAATTGGTCATCCTATCTTTCGAAACTGAATTCTTAAACGCACCAGTGTTGAACGGAGCGTTTGACCACTTTGGAAAACCACTCTTATATTCTCATTCTTTAGTATCCGCCTGATCGCTTCGGAGGTTCCTTTTTTATATGGGTATTTCCTCATATATTCCAGTTAACCAAAGATTATTTATCTTAGGCTCATGACCGGCATTGCGTAGGTTCATCTACAACAGATATGTTGGACTCCATCACAAAGTAACTGGACGAAGCCCAAATGAGCGATCGTATAGAATGTGTTATGCCTCTCCCACAACCCTACCAGTAAGAATAAAGCGCGAACAGAATACCTCGTGATCGATCTCTAATCCATGAATGTCGCCCAATGTGTGCATGCGTCTGCGTGCATGCATGTCTGACTATCTGCTTGTGGCCGACCGTTATTCACCCAGCGAAGACGCTTGTGGCATAGTACAAGCTCGTAACTTGTTCTTCCACTTCAAGCGTTTATTCTTGCAATGGTTGGAGTCTCCGCAGTAGCTAGCCCACGTAAAACCGCTGGCAATTGCATGGCCCCGAGACAACAGTACAACCTTCTTGTGTACTGCTGACACATTGTCTAACCGTTGGGCAAAAATGTGGCCCAAGATTGCCTATCACTTCTTGTAGAGAAAAGTGCAAGAAAACCTCACTTGCGCTGCTTACCTTTGCTTCTTAGCTGGCCTTTGTGACCGTTCGCAAGATTGAACTCATCGTTATTCCGCTTACTTGCTTATGGCAGTAGTTTCTACATTTCAACTTCCTCCCTATCCTTACTACACATTAGTGGCTCATTGCGGTTGCATTTCAGCGAAGCTTTAGCGCAAACCACTGACTGCTGTTCTGGTTTTCGTTGTTTATGCTAATAATTTGCTTTGGGTCTTCGGTCTGTTCTGGCTTCGTACAACCTCTTTCGGGGCTTCTAATGTACTTACTCATTCTACGCTGAACATTATAGACATTTCCAGTCCTCACGTAGTCCCATTGTGGACATCCCGCGGACATTGTTTTACACTTCCTCGCATACGTAAGATCAGTTAGCCACATTATATGTGATTTACTGCACACATCTGGAGTTTTCTTATATGCATACTTTTACTTTTTTTAACCCAATATCCAGTTGCGCCCCTTGGCTCTTTGGTTATCACTGGCAGGCCGGACCGTGTCAATTTAGTATTCGAGGAAGAGATAAAGCCCTTGCTTCCCGTTGAAGAGGCGTTTCCCTTATCAAAAGAATTTCATCGTAGTCTTCTGTCTACCCCAAATACCGAACGCGAGAGGTCCACTCGCTTCACTACTTCACAATTGTCCCGAGTTAACCAGTATTCACAGAACAAAGAGTCTGTCAACGAGTCATCATCTTCAGAACCGATTTCCAAGGCCGCTGAACTTAGGCAGAAATATGGTGTAAGTTACACATGATGTGATGTTATAATCTCAAGTTGTGTTACTCTCCAGCATTCATTCTAAACTCTGTTCTTGCTGTTATCACTCTCGTTACTTTTACACAGAACTGAAGTAGCTTTGGCTGTCAAATTATACGCGTCTCAGTCTCTCAGCTTTTTACCACTAGCTCAGATGGATAATTCGGGTCACCATGACAATGCGTTCCAATAGGTCCCACTATTGTTTTAGCGGATTGCTCCAGCTTCCTTTTCAACAGAACAACAAACAGACCGTCAGCCTCACTCAGGTGGCTAGTACTTATTCTACCAAAGGTTACACTACTTTCTGCCACAACTTACGTTTCCGAGTGATCGTACGATTTCAATGTTGAATGTTTTGTCTACCGGATCGACTTTCTAAGTCACCGATTCATAAGCAATTCAGCAGCATCTTGTCCAAACAATGATTTCGAGTTCCTTTTTCATTTGTGTTTGATAATTTTACTGACCTCATTCGTCAGCAATTTCCGTCTTATCTGTTTGTGCGGTAGTTTCGGTTTCAGTTCTTTGGTATCGTTCGCGAGTCTGAAATGAGGCGTTCACACAACGTCCGCCTTCACCCTGCTCCCCCAGTGTCCTGGATCACGACCTGTCGGTGGAACAGATTTGGTTAGCGAATGAGTTCCGCGTAGCTAAGTCACTGAAACAATGACTGGATTTGGTTAACCGTTTTCGCTCAGACTCAACTGAAACTAATCTAAGAATCTTGTAAGGCGGTCTCCACGACCCTACTCCGAATGCAAATCGGCTGAGAAGGAAACGTCGTCTGTCCGATTTGATATGGTCTCATCTAGTTTAGCTCATAATCGATGCAAGTGGAACCATTTCTATTCCCTCTGTCGGAGTGACAGCATCGTTCGTTGTCGTGCACTTAGAACCGTCCGTTCCACCACTAAATCTTTGGACTATTTGGATAGTAATGAGACAAGGGGAGGCTTTTCGGTAGAACATCGTTTAGGAAACTCCGGGCTTCAGGCTGCGGGAACCCGGTAGCTTATTTATTTAATCACAAGTTGAGACACGCGTTTTTATCTCATGTCATGCGAATTGTGTCGGTTCTTTTGCACAGGACAGTGCAATGAGGAATAGTATATAATTAGCCACAAAAATGAAACACAAGGATAATGCACCATCCACGAGGCGAGTAATTGAGCACAGACAGTGTCATCGATTTCATGAAAAATTCACATCCCATCTTCATTCATGCACCACTTTATCAGCTCTCAAATGTTTCACTTTCACTTTTTACCCTTGGTTTCTTTATCGTCAGATCAGCGTCCTAGTCCCATCTCAGAACGCAGATTCCAAACAGATTATTTTACGTGGTACACCCAGCCAATTGGAAGCAGCCAAAACGGAGCTGGTTGAATGGGTGAAACAATGTGAGGCGCTTAAAGCGGATCGAATCGCTCGCAGCTTTGAACGTACTCTAACCGTACCTACTCGTTTCATCCAGGATTTACTTACTGCCCGACCCAAGCTCGTCGAGTCGCATGGCGTTAGCGTTCGTTTCGGAGCAGATGTGCTCACTGATGAAATAACTAGCGATAGTAAGGATCTTGCTGATACAACTTCTGGCAATGATATTGGCGCTCGCGCGAGTGATGGCTCCGCGGTTGAGTGCAACTCTGCTGGAAAATCTCACACTGAACGCATGTGCACGGTCATTGTCCGTGGGTATCAGGATAAAGTATCAGATGCACTGAAGGACCTGGAAACGATCGTCGCCAGGCTTCAGTCTAACACTACGGAAAGTGTATACATACCAGCTGAGGTGAGTACTTTATGGCGATGCAACGATAACTTTGGCAGAGGTTTTGTTTAGGTTGTATGCATCGTATGCTAGCTGCGCATAAATAACCAACGCCTTTTGTTTCGCCATACAGATACTCAGTCAACTCATTGCATGTCAAATTATATCTCATTTCCAACGATGCTTTAGTAGCTAGCTCAAAGCATGGTCTGCTGTTACTGGATGCATCACTCTTGGCTAGACATGCCACTCCGTCTACGGAATTCTAACTTCATGCTCACACAAATCATGTACTAAATATTGAACGTCGGTCTGCACACTGTGGCCTATTTAGTGAAGCGCAACTGTTGTTTCCTCCAGTACTTAAGGCATTTGAACTACGATTAAGTTACTAAATGAGACCGTGTCTCTAATCTTTTGACTGCGTATCACCTGTTGTAGCTGCCGCACAGCGCCGCAATCCTAGCCATTCGCTAGGATTGGCCAAACAAATCAAGTCGTTCACCCTCTCTATGAACCCTCGCTTTTTTACTCGTCATTTCTCGCTTCCATCCACATACGTACATTGATGCGCCACTCCACCGTGATATTAGATTTTCGCTCCCATTCAATCACTTGTGATTCTTTCTCGATTTACTTATGGCCACCTCGCGATCAAGTCAACACGAAACTTCCACACCTGCAACTGGAATATGGCATCGCCTCATCACTCATACATAATTCCTCTTTGTTTCACTATACTTTCCTTGACCCTACCAATCAGGTCCATCCACACCTTATAGGATCGGGTCGATCTGCCATTTCCAAAGTGATGGCGGATTACAATGTGCGCATCACCTTTCCAAATAGAAATAACCGTCAGATAACCGATCCTAACACCGTGTACGTCACAGGTGCAGAAAACGATGTGGATAAAGCTTGCGATTACCTGGTGGCAAAGGCCAATGACATAGTAAGTTCCGAGCAATAATAACGGTTTTCTTTTCTCATACTCCATATAACTAAATGTCAGTCATTCATAAGTTAACCTATAAGACCGCTTTCAGCAAATGATCACTTTTCTTGTGTCGCAATACCATGGCGTAGATGTTCAAACATTCGTACGTTATGTACTCCTTATGTGTGTTTATATGTTCCTAAACGTTGGCAGCATTACTCAATGTTGTTGAGCGAACATGACATTGTTCTCCGTCATGGATGTAGACAACACGCTGAATGGTTGAGTCGATGCTGTACGGTACGGTGGGTCGGTTGTAGCTGTGACGCATGAATGCTACGCTGACTACTGTTGTGGTAGTCTGTCTCACATCTCATGCTAAATATTGCTGTCTCATAGCTGCCGGACGATGTTGAACGTCTCGGCTTTGAGTGTCAGCGACATGTGTGTATTAGTGTTTGACAAATTTGCGTAGAAGTGTGTGTGTGTGTGTGTGTGTGTGTGCATGCCTTCGCAGTGGCTGTAGAGGTGATCTGTAGCCATTCACCTGTCATGCGAAATTGACGCGAGACCAGCAGCTGTGGCATTTGGATCATGCGTGTTTCTGCGTGACTGTGGAGTTGCGACATTGCAGGTAGTTGGTAGTTTCTATCAGTCATATCACTTTTTCGTGGATTCCGTATTGTGATGTTGAGATTTGGTTGGAACTTTGCGCGCATGTACGCCTGGCATACTGACGGTTTTGTGTTATCATTGTGCCGGTACAATTGTTGAGGTTAGTTGTATGGACGCAAGGTTTTTGAGTAGGCATCGGATTGCTTGATACGAAAGGTTGTCGCAGATGTGGTGAGTGTTTCAGGAGAAGATGCTGATAGTGCCCTAGGGAGGGAATCATGTCGTATCAGTCTCACCGTCTCTGTAAGCTGTCTGGCTTTTGGATGCGGGTGGTGCGTTTGGCGTTGTTGTAACCTTGTACGTGGAGGTTGGTGAGCTCTCCTAGGCAGATGCGGACCGGACAGCCTGGACTATTGGCCGCAGCAGATTCCGGTAATTTGATGATGGTTACCGATTGTAAATCAATCAATGGAGGCGAGTACTCTATTGTTGAAAGTACCTCGTTAGTTGTACTTACTAGTCGATATGTTTGAAACTACTATGTGCGCCAGTTATGTTTTTTCCTACTGCTTTATTTTCACCAGGAAATCGTTTGTCCTTGAAGGCCCAACTTTTCTAACGTACCTGGGCGGCTTGTATTAGACCTGCGGACAGCACACAGTGTAACTTAATGAATGAAAAAAGTACAGAAATGGTCGCATCACTATACGCGTTAGTTAGAGGTAGAAAACACCTCGGCTACTGTGCCGCAAGATATAAGAGCAAAAATAAGAAAGCAATACAGCAGATGCATGCCAGCTGAGTTACCAGTAACGGATGGGCATCGTACTGGAGAGCTAACGGTCGTGTTGTTGTGCCGTAAAAAGAGTTACCTTACGCCTAGTAATTGAAATCTTGGTTGGTGGGTGAGGATAAAATGGATGGGGAGGGACAATGAAACTCCCAGCACGAACACCACTGAGTTCGGCTTCTACATGTCAGCAGGTGTATCCAGCCAAACATGTTCATCGTCTTTCGGACCCAACCAGAGAGCCGAGGCATTTCAACCGAGGCCAACTTCGAAGTGAGGGCCTTCACTCCTCTCGACCAAGTCATCGCTTGGCCACCTATCTTCCTCTTTCATCCTTACCACCGACGTGCAAACTGCGCACGTCTTGAAAGCCAGTGGTTTGGCATGCGTAATACGTGGCTGAGCCATCGGAGCCTGATGCGTGAATTAACGGTGTTGAGCAGTTAATTTCCTTTTTCTGTGCCGTACACAAGGCGTTGAACACGCTCGTTGCTAACTCGGTGTTCCTACTAGATGTGAGCCAAACTGCGAAGGCACCGGTGGTCGAACGTAACTAGTCTCTTTCTGTCGACTGATCTAAGGGGTCAGGTTTCACAGCCGTACAGTAAGGTCGAACATACCACTGCATTGAACGCTCTACTCTTCAGCGCGAGCGTGGTGTCGCGCTGGCGCCACAGGTGGCGAAGGTTAGCAAAAGCGCCTCGAGTTTTTGCTATACGGTTCGTGATCTCATCTTCGATCGCTTGGGCGCTGATACAACTTCTCAGGTAGTCGAATTTTCGAAAGGCTTCTAGCTGATCCCCACCAAGTAGGTCAATGCCAATCTTGGAGGAAAGCTTTGCACTTTGAGGATGCATTCTCGTAATGGACGGTGGTTATTTGCGCAATAGAGTGACTAAACTACACGGGCTATGTGACTCTTTGGGATTTTGTTGCATGATACATGCGACTATTCTCGTAGGGGATCTTGTTTTTGCTTGTAATAAGCGGATTATAGTAGGGTCGGAAAAGCGCATGCAATCAGTTGGCTATTTGCGTTGCGGGAGAGGGCGATTGAAAGTAAATAGTTGCGATCCATTCGCCGCGCAATTTTGGACCGTGCGTGTTAACAATTGTCCGCGTTGCTTTATTTTCTTCGCTGGCGAATCTTTTTGTCTTTATTGTTTTTCTTTCTGCATGTTAATCAATTCCGTTTCTTTACTCTTTTTTCGTTCAGTGGATGTTACATGTTTTCCTTTTACTTGGTTGTCGGCGCAAGACCACATTGATGGTAGTTTGTCCTGTCTTTCAGCGGTGTATCTGCGCAGATAACGAGCGCTAACCTGTTGTTCCACCTACTATTGTCAGATTTCGTGCGTCATATTCCTGCGCTTTTCTCATTTCATGTCACTTTGTTTGACGTTGAAATGTAGTGCACATTCGTGAGATGTGTATATGTCAATGACTCCCGTCAGTGCTTGATGCGTTGCGTCTGCGCAAGGAGTGTAAAAGGTAATTACGTGGGCGCTAGACCAAGCATGCGTTCGAATTTGATGCTCCTATGACGCGATTGCGCGGAGGTATGCGACCACCTCCCACTCCACTATTCGCTTGGCTTTTTGATCTATGTGTTTTCACGTTTTTTTTTACAAATCTCTGCATAACGGTTATGCTATGGATTGTCATTTACTCATTCTTTTCCATCCCGAACTTATAGCTGTACCGTTTGGATTCGGAGAACCGCACTTCTCGCGGCAAACAGTATCGCGAGGAAATTTTGCCCACCCCTGCCAACGGTTAAATGGAATATACAACCTTGTCAGGTGGAAGAGGAAATCCAGTGCACGTCTTTCTTTACCTTGTCCCATTGCTCCGACCTGTTGCTGTATGTGCCTTAGTCACATTTATCTTTGCTCCACTTCGTGCATGCGGTAGCTCCACTTGACATTAATCTCCAAAGCGGAGCTCCGTATTGTTTTCGCTTTCTTTGTCTACATTTCGATGGTATGTGGTGTATCCATCGGCCACAGTCAGCTTTTCTTTTCAGTTTTCCGCACCGCGCTTGGTATTGCGCATCTTCATTTTGCTTTGTCTCCGTTTGCAGTTCAGACGGTGGGGTCATTTTTACTTGCTGAAATTGTTGTTCTAATCACTATGGTTTGCCGCTGTACTTGCAGACGGTTTATTTCTTTACCTGCTTCGCTTATTAACCGGTACCTTGTCTGATCATCCCAAGATATTTGGTGCTCATGGTCAGGTGTCCACGCTCCGTTCTTCCTAGATTTTACTGACCGGTTTTTGCCGTAGTGCTTCTCGAATCGAATGGGTTTAATCGCTTGTTTTCTCAGCTTGTTTCTTCTTATCTCACTGAATAGGTGAATAACTCTTGAACCCCTCCAGTGTCGTGATTTTCATTCTGTCTAAAATAGATTACGAATGCCTGGAATTCCATTTTCGCGTGCATATGAGCTTGGAGAAACACTTCCTGTACTGTAACGTCGCCGTGTCTGTGTCCGATTAGTCACTTCCTTCTTCCACAGTGTTTACTTGCGTTTCAAATAGCCCACTAATCGAATTTAATGGTTCAGCAGGTAAGAGCGAAAGAGTTTTGGTAGCATGACTCACATTTGACGACACGTGGAGCCAGGTACTATCAGATTAATCATACGCATTATAACAAGCCGTATTGGAATAGTAGCCTCCCTACCTGGATTCACATAAGTTAAATCCCGTTGTATATTCATAAAACTACGAATCCAAGTTGTTAATGTACATGGAGTTATTTTTCCACATTAAAACGGGCAAGCTGTCTGACCGTTGTTTCCGCTACCAAAGCTCTATCGTGTACCAATGTCATTAATGCATACTGTTTCAGCTCCAAACTAACTGTACACTCACTCAGTTAGTGAAGTCAGGTGAAGCTTGAACATATCATCACACTTCAACCACACACTGCATCCGACGTCGTGCAGTTTCAAAAGGGTCATCTTATCTGCTGCATACAGCAGGCCGGATAAGCGACAACAAGCTTCTCTGCTTGTTTCTCCCACTCCTCTCCCAACCCCATTAATAACACATACGTCTGTAGTATGCACTTGAAAATATGCAGAATTTTTCCCGTATAACTCCTGCGGCAATTTTGCGTTAACTTTTCTGCTAGAAACCTTGCTTCTATAATTCCCATATTAAAAGGGCCAGTGTAGGGAGGCTGGAGAGGGCGCCGCACTGCGTCGGTGCGGAGGAAGACGTGAGTGCAGGTAGAGAGTCCGCTGTGTATTTGCACATCTCTAGTCTGTTCACGGGGCGGGGTCGGGCGTAGTGAACGCATGCGTTGAGCTAGGGAGGACGCAAAGTTAAGCGGAGGCATAACCGACGATGCGGGAGGTGAAACGAATTCTCCTGCTAACTTGAGCGTCGTGCCGTAAACCAGCTCTGCTGGTGCACATTGCAAGTCAGCTTTGATGCTGCTGCGAATGCCTAAGAGTACGAGCGAAATGTTTTCGCTCCAGCTAGGGTCGGAGGAGGCGCAGAGCGAGACTTTAAGCTGTCTATGGAAGCGTTCAACTAACCCATTGGCTGCTGGGTGATACGCTGTGGTATGAATGCGACGGCAGCCTAAAAAGTTGCAGAACGTATCGAATTGTGAAGATTCGAAAGGCGTTCCTCGGTCGGTTGTGATGGTAGATGGGCATCCGTAGTGCGAGACCCATCGGTCCAAGAAGGCCCGGATAACAGTCAGCTGTGCAGTGTGTTACGGGGATAGCTTCTGGCCATCTGTTGAAGCGGTCGACACATGTAAGAATGTATACGAATCCGCGTGACGGAGGTAATGGACCTACTAGGTCTAAGTGTACATGCGAGAACCGAGAGTCCGGGGCAGGGAATGAACCAAGAGGACTGCGAGTGTGACGATATACTTTAGAGCGCTGGCATTGAAGGCAGGCTCGAGCCCAGGTACGAACATCTTTGTTTACGCGTGGCCAAACGAAACGTTCGGTGACCAGTTTCAAAGATGCACGGATACCGGGATGTGATAGTGAGTGCAGTGCGTCGAAGACTGTGCGTCTGAAGGAGACAGGCACGAGGGGTCTAGGACAACCTGTGGAAGTGTCACAGAGAATGGTTCCTTCCGTGGTTTGGAGAGGAACAGGTTGAACATGCAACGAAGTGGACTGCAGAGTGCGTTGTATATCTTCGTCTTGAGCCTGAGCCGATGCCATGGTGGCGAGGTCGACAGTAGGCAAAGACTGCCGAGTGAGGTTGACGCGTGAAAGAGCGTCGGCGACGGGATTGTCGACACCTGAGACATGACGTATGTCAGCAGTGAACTGCGTGACAAAGTCTAGGTGTCTTGTTTCTCGTGGTGAGTATTTGTCGGTAGCAGAGTTGAAGGCAAAGATAAGGGGCTTATGGTCAGTGTAGACCGTGAAAGCGCGGCCTTCAAGTGTGTGCCGGAAGTGACGTATCGCTAGGTAAATGGCGAGCAGTTCTCTGCCAAACGTGCTGTAGCGGGATTCCGCTGGCTGCAAGCGCTTGGAGAAGAACCCAAGGGGTTGCCATTGCCCACCAACGTGTTGTTGGAGGACGGCACCTACCGCGACGTCTGAGGCATCAGTCGTAATAGAAAGAGGTGCAGTCGATTCGGAATGAGCGAGGAGGGCTATGTTGGAGATAGCATCCTTGAGCTCGGCGAAGGCTGCCTGTGCTGTGTCAGGGAAAGCGAACTTACGTTCATTTCCTCTGAGTAGGTCAGTCAGTGGCTGCATGAGCTGAGCGCAGCGCGGAATGAAGCGTCGATAGTAGTTGACCAAACCACAAAATCGACGGAGGTGCTTGAAGGAAGTCGGAGCTGGGAAGTCCTTGACTGCCTGGATCTTATCAGGAAGGACTTCGATACCAGACGATGAAACGAGGTGGCCTAGGAATTCTACCGTTGATTTGCCGAGTTCACACTTAGTCGGGTTGACTGTGACACCGTGTTGGGTCAAGCGCTGGAAGAGAACTCGAAGATGCTCGAGGTGCTCTTGTTCCGATGAACTGGCTACTAAGATATCATCGAGGTAGGAATATGCGAAGTCAAGGCCACGAGTGACATCGTGGATGAAGCGTTGGAAGGTTTGTGCGGCGTTGCACAGTCCAAATGGCATTCTTACAAATTCAAACAAACCGAAAGGAGTAATGACGGCTGTTTTAGGGATGTCATTGTCTTCCACAGGTATCTGGTGATAGGCGCGAATCAGATCGATCTTGCTGAAGCTCGTCTTACCTGTGAGGCATGCGGTAAGGTCCTGCATGTGTGGGATGGGATACCTATCTGAGACGGTTAGGCGATTGAGTGCGCGGTAATCACCTCAAGGGTGCCAGTCACCAGATTTCTTGGGGACCATCTGTAGGGGCGAGGACCAGGGGCTGTCGGAAGGGCGGATTATTCCAAGTTCAAGCATGTGCTCAAACTCCGCCCTAGCTACCTTTAGTTTCTCAGGCGATAGTCGGCGTGGACGTCATGACACAGGTGGGCCGTTCGTCCGTATGTGGTGCGTGACTTGAGCTGCCACGGGCAAAGCTGCGTTCATTGGCTGAACGAGCTTGGGATACTGAGAAAGAGATTAGCGTAGTCTGGCGAGGTCTGGGGGAATGCATAGACTGGGCATATAGATGGGACATCGGCGGTGATGCCACGTACGCTGAGTTTTGTTGCAGTGTCGACTATCATCTGGCGTTTCGCATCGACCAAGAGGTCGAAATGCCTGAGAAAGTCAATGCCGATGATGGCAAAGGGGACTGCAGCGACGGTGAATACCCAACGGAACGTGCGCCGAAGACCTAGGTCCAGGGTAAGTGACCGATGACCATAGGTGGCTATTGGCATGCCATTGGCGGCACTGAGGCTTGTCGACAGATAAGTGGTAGGCTCACCTGGCATAGGGGGAATGACGCTGACTTCCGCCCCGGTATCAACTAAGAACTGGGTATCGGAGTCATAATCCCTAATGTAGATGAGACGACTTTGAGCTTTGCCGACGTTCGTGGCCATTACAGGCCGGCGTGGCGGATCAGCTATAGCGGAGTAGCTACACGGCTGTACGCAATTACGGGCTTGATTACCGAAACGCGAGTGGTAGAAGCAGTAACCTGTGGGATCAGGTTTTGTGCGACGGTGCGATGATCCAGAGCGGTTGCGGTGCTTACGTTTTAAGGTGAGTTCCTCGATCTGGCGCTGAAGCGACGCTATCTGCAATGGTAATGCGTCTATTGCCGACGGAGGGCTAGTCGCGCCTGTCGTTGTGGTTGCGCCAGCATAAAGCTGCTTAGGTGCTTTGGTTTCAGTCTCTGGCTGGTGCCGTTCGATGACGCGGTCTGCTAGCTCTGTAATTGCTGTGATGGGCAAGTCACTTGCTACTGCAAGTATGGCCTGAGTGCTTGCAGGAAGGCGTTGCATCCACATCTCGCGGAGAATCCCTACTTCCATGTTGGACGTGCCGATGAGCTGTTGCATTTCGCGCAACAAGGCTGAGGGCATCCTATCTCCTAGCTGCAGATCACTAAATAGTTGCTGCAGACGGACCTTGTCAGAAGGCGTGATTCGCTGAATAATAGCCTGTTTAAGTGTCTCGTATTTCATTACTAGAGGGGGGCAAAGTATGATGTCTCTCACCTGCGAGGATATATCCTGAGGAAGGCAAGATATTAGCTGGTTATACATGGCGAAATCAGAAGAAATCTTACGAATATAAAATACGGATTCTAAATGCAAAAACCATAATAAAGGATCATTCTCCCAAAAACGGGGAGGGGCCAATGCAACCGAATTGACCATGGCAGGCTGAACGGCGTTAACCGCGCATGGAGACGGCTTATCCTCTAGATTATCCATTGCAAAAAGCAGTTAAAATATGTGGTAGGTGAGAAAACACAATGATCACAAGTAATGAATCACAAACTCACTGGAACGAGCTCACCAGAATGAAAATGCAAAATGGCGGGCGGCGTGTTCCTGACAGGGGGTCACCAATTGTTGGGCGGAGCCTGGGATACTAGTCGGTAAGCAATGACACGTAAGACGTGTCAAATACGACAGTATAGAAGTCGGAGGCGACTGAACCCAACGTATATTGTACAGGCTACAAGAATAAGAAGCGAATCAGACGGAGCGAGAAACGTGCAGCGATGAACTCACCAAAACGGTTTGTGACAACGGACGTGCAGTCAGTAAAACAAATGGACGTTTCGAAGGTTAAAACAACCATAAAATCCAATGTTACAAGATACTGAAAGAGCATGTTTTCTGTTGCACTACAGTGTTCCAGAACTTAACCATGGCGATATAAATGAACATCAGAAGCACGATATAGAAGAGTGGAGGTACATAACGGAGCTCTACAACACACAAAATATCGTGACTTTCGATGTCACCCGTCTAGCGGCCTCCTTAAACTATCAGGGTAACGGGCCAAAAATTTTGAAAGTCACCGTGGCTACACCTGAGATGGTATCAACGGCCGTCCAAGCGTGGCACGACAACAGAAAACGTGGGCCACCTGAAGTACGTTTAAGATCGTTCCTAAACAAACTACGGGCCACAGATACAGACGAACCGGACTCGGTTGTTCCTAACTCAGGTCAGACAAATGTGCAAACGCCTCTGACAAAAAACGTACGCAGACCGGCACAATCCGTGCCGGTCAACCACAACGAACCGAGCTCCTAATGTGTCAACAGATACAGTGCTGCTACACAAACGCTCAGGGGCTCAACTCTAAGCTACCTGAATTGCGCCATCGACATAACACAAACAATTGGGATATCATAGCTGTAACTGAAACCTGGCTCTCCAATGACATGCTCGACACGGAAATCGAGATCAGTGATATGTCAGTTATTCGCAGTGATCGTCCATCTCGCGGTGGCGGCGTTGCTCTGTACTATCGGAATTGTCTGAGATGTGAGGCTATTAACGAACGTCACCTTGCTGTCTCCGACGGTTTGTTTTGCCTAATGCAGCTAAATGGCCGAGGTGGTGAACCTTCGAAGAAGACGTGGGATGCTTGTCTGTTGGTAGTTGTTTACAGGCCACCGAACTCCACCGCAGACCGAGATGATATTCTGTTAAACGCGCTTCGTTATGCAGTTTCTCAAAAGTACTCACATTGTCTAATCATGGGCGATTTTAATGTACCCTCAATTGTCTCAGCGACTTCTAGTGGTCCTTACTTCAAATCAAAGATTCTCGAGTTTATGGATACAGCAGCTCTGTACAACCACGTGCACCGACCAATTAGACACCGCGGTTCAAATAAGCCATCGCTTCTGGATTTAATCCTAACCAACGAAGAGTTGATGATTGAGACAATTTCATACGATCCACCATTAGGCAACAGTGACCACT